CTCCAGCAGTACGCCTCCAGCGGCGAGCAAACCACTCACGCAGCTCCTGTGGAGAGAGTGGCTCCCGCCGAGACGAAACACCCGGAGAACCTCCAGGCCCAGCACCGCCAGACGCCACAAGGGGAGGTCCAGTGGCCGCAGGCTCCACACCTCCAGGCTCAGCAGCTCCAGACGCAGCACCCCCAGGCTCAGCACCCCCAGGCTCAGCACCCACGCGCGCAGCACCCCCAGAGTCAGCACCCCCATGCTCAGCACCCCCAGGCTCAGCACCCCCAGAGTCAGCACCCCCAGGCTCAGCAACCCCACGCTCAGCACCCCCTGCAGTACCTGAGCCACGAGCAACCTCGACCGGCTCGACTGCATCTACCTGGGACACACCTGAAGGGGCAGGACCCTGAGGGGGAAGGGGGTCTACCGCGGGGGGACCTGGCACAAGGAAGTGCGGTGGCGGGGGGAGGGAAGGAGTGCGGTAGGGGAAGAGGCGGTAGAAGGGGACGGACTCGTCGAACTCGACATCCTGGGAGGACAGAACACGACGAGAGGAGGGGTGGTAGAACTGCCACCCTGGGGCGTCAGGGGGGAAGCCTAGGAAGACACAGGGAGCAGCACGAGGGGACAGCTTGTCCGCAGACAAGTCGCGGACAAACGTCCGAGATCCCCAGACACGGAACGCAGACGCATCGCCGACCTTCCCCGTCCACAGTAACACTGGGGACATATCGGGCCGAGAGACCCTGGGGTGAAGGTTGAGCTGATGCGCCGCGTACCGAACCGCAAACGGCCACAGAAAATGGGGGGCAGCCGCATGCATCATGGACGTACGAGCGACATCCATGACCATGCCAATGCGGCGCTCAGCAATCCCATTTTGCTGTGGAGAGTCCGGAAGCGTAAAGGTCTGGCGGATCCCCTGTGCACGACAGTAGTCTCGCAGAAGGCGAGAGGAGAACTCCCCACCTCGGTCAGAGTGCAGACGCAGAACAGGAAAGTCCGAGCCGAAGCTCCTCCTGAGCTGGAGACGAGCCTCGCGGATCCAGTCGATCAGCACCTCAGTGACATCACCCTTGCTGCGCAAGGGGAAGACTGTGGTGTAACGCGAGTAGTTGTCAACCACCAACAGGAAGTAGCGCTCGTGACCCTGCCCACGGACGGGGGCCGGGCCCCACACGTCCATGTGAAGTGTCTGCAGAGGAGCCTCTGTCGGGGGAAACTGGGAGGAGTGAGGAGCAGCCCTGAGGCGCCCCTCGACACAGGGGACACAGGAAGGTCCTGGTCCCGAAGGAAGGGGAGGGAGAGACTGGGGAAGACCAGAGACAAGGACACGGGAAGCCATGCCCCGAAGACGGGGCAAGGAGGGGTGGCCAAGACGGTGGTGCCATAGGAGAGTCTCGTGAGACAAGAGGCGACACGAGCAGGGGGCAGACTCAGGACCAGACCTGGACGCAGCAGCAAACACCTGACCTGACGCTGCTACCTGACCGGACGCAGGGACAGGAGGAGACTCAGTGGTCAGGGTGTAGAGGCTCGACCCCGGCCGACGCGAGAACGTGGCCAGGTGCCGGCCTGTGCGTGCGTCCGTGCAGTGGGTCACCCGCTGACTCGCAGGAGTGAACTGGTGAACCCCCGCATCCTGCAGGTCTGCACCACTCACCAAGTTCGTCGAGAACGAGGGGAGGTACAGGCCAGACAGGGTGCCCGAGGGGGCAGCCGGACACGGGAGGACAGTGGAAAAGTGAGCGAGGATAGGACCCCCAGAGGGGTCAGCCAGGGAGACTGCAACAGGCCGACCAAGCGGCGTGAGTGTGGTGCGGTCCCGAAAGAAGGAGCGAGAAGCCCCAGAGTCAAGTGTAAAGGTGAGGGAAGCCGAAGCCAACGTGGTACCTGAGAGCGCAGCCTCACCCGCACCTGAGGAAGCAGACTCACTAGCACCTAGAGCAGCAGCCGCACCTGTACCTGGAGCAGGAGACTCACTAGCACCCAGAGCAGCAGCAGCCTCACCAGTAGCTAGAGCAGCAGGTCCTGTAGCCGGGTCAGGCGGTACGCACAGGTGACCGGCACGGTCAGCACTAGTAGGCAATGCATACATGGCAGTGAGAATAGCATCATAGTCAAGAGCAAATATATCTACCCTCTGCCTAAGCAACTCCACCCAGTCGGGGAGCTCAGCCTCGTCGCCAAACACGGTACGCCAGGCGTCGCTCAGACGGGCGAAGCAGCGGGACTGTGTATGACTAGGTGTCCCACAAGGCTGACCAGTCCGAGCACCAGTGAGAATCACGTAAGAGCAGCGAACAGAACTGAGAGACCCTCCACTCTGAGCGTACCACTCACGAAGCTGCTGAGGCGTGAGAGACGCGCGGGGGGGTCGCGGGAGCTGCATCTGGCCGCCACCAGTAGTAGAAGCAGCAGGAGTGGTAGCAGTAGTAGCGCCACCACCCCTACAGCCCCAACCAGCGTACCACTCACGCAGCTGCTGGGGCGTGAGGGACTCACGCAGACGTCGATGGGGCCGCATCTGGCTCCACCAGTAGAGGTAGGAGCAGGAGTAGCAGCAGTAAGGCAGGCAGCCAGGCAAGCCAAAAAGGGAGGCAGGCAGGCAAGCAGGCGACGCGCAGCGTGCTAGCAGGGCAGGGGCTCACCAGTGGTGGGTAGAGTAGGCTCGGCGACTCAGAGGCTAGGCAGCACGGCGGCTCTGCGGCTCGGGCGACTCGGGCGGCTCGGCGGCAGGGCGGCTCGGCAGCAACTGCAGCTCGGCAGCTCGGCGACCCGGCGGCGCGGCTGTAGGGCGGCTCGGCTGCTGGGAGGCTCGGGTGTAGAGCGGCTCGGCTGCAGGGCGGCTCGGCTGCTGGGAGGCTCGGGTGTAAAGCGGCTCGGCGGCGAGGCGGCTCGGCTGCAGGGCGGCTCGAGACGAAGGAGGAGGAGAAGTAGGGGAGACCACACACCTGCCACCGCAAGCGGCCCCCTCAGGTCGCCTCGACAGGCGACGGGAAAAGGGGGGGGGGGGGGGAGGCGGCTCGGGCGGCTCGGGCGGCTCAGGCGGCTCGGGCAGCTCGGGCAGTCAGCGGCACAGGCGGCTCGGGCGGCTCGGCTCCTCAGCTGCGCAGACGGCTCGGGCGGCTCAGGCTGCACGGCGGCTAACGGGCGACGTGGGGGGCCAGGACGGCGGCGTGCAGCAGGGACGGGCGGCGCACGGGCGGTGTGAGGCCAGGACGGGCGCGCGCGGGCGGCTAGGGGCCGGGACGGGCGCGCGCGGGTGGCTAGGGGCCGGGACGGGCGGCGCGCGGGCGGCTAGGGGCCTGAACGGGCGGCGCGCGAGCGGCTAGGGGCCGGGACGGGCGGCGCGCGGGCGGCTAGGGGCCTGAACGGGCGGCGCGCGAGCGGCTAGGGGCCGGGACGGGCGGCGCGCGGGCGGCTAAGGGCCGGGACGGGCGGCGCGCGGGCGGCTAGGGGCCTGAACGGGCGGCGCGCGGGCGGCTAGGGGCCGGGACAGGCGGCGCGCGGGCGGCTAGGGGCCTGCAGGGCAGGCCGAAAGAGTGAGAGCGAGGGCTCGGAGCGCGCTCCGGGCAGAAAAAAAAGTTTAAAAGTGGTGGGCCCTAAGCACAGTTCCCACGGGGGAACCTGCTCGATACCATGTGGAAAATAGAGCGAGAATGAATGAACTATGAGTGAAGTGAGTACAAATAGCAAAACCCTAATTGGGTTGTACCCCCTATGGTATACCCCACTGTAGCCTACACAACAGCATAAGCTACATATATGTTCTGACAGGCGGCAGCGGATGATGCGGACGTGGGCCTGGTGGCGGAGCTATGGAGGGCGCCTACCACGATGCAGGCCGTGTATGACGAATCCGACCCAATCGGCCGTGAAGCGCGGCGCACGGCACGGGCGGCCAGCGAGATGCTCATCGGCTACGCTCGCGCCGTGAGCGTGACGCCGCGCGACCTTTGCCACCTGTTCGACATTCGTAATCCGATCATCAGGGAGCGCATGGAGCGGGCAAGCCCCGCGCTCAATCTCAACACGGCCCCGCCGCCGCGGCTTTCGCCGACCGTAACTCCGCCGCCTGACACCCCGCGTCCGAGGGGCCGAGTGCTGCCTGGCTGGATGACCCAGCCGTCCCGCCGTCAGCAGCTTCTGGACGCCGGGGTTGGCGCCGCGATGGGCGGGTACGTGGAGGCGGCAGAGTGGATGCATGTGTGAATTCGTTTAGTGGAGTCATGAGCAGTCGAAAGTTAGGATGGTGGAGTTTTTGTGGATTTGCTATGTGTTTGGATTGTGCACGTAACGGGCACAATTGCAGTAGAGGGGATGAGGGGCCATGTGGTAGTTCGTGATTGGCCCGGCTTTGTGTGTCAGCTGTTTCAATCTAAGTTGAACAAATGTTGATGTTGCTACACGGTTCAGTTTTGCTTTCGTGTGGATTTCGGTAACGCGCACTTGTGACAACAGGTGCCACCCGACACTGTTACATAACGGACAAAGCGAGTGGTAACCATATGCGCGTTAGATGCACGCGCAAAGCCTGACGAAACCCTTGACGAACCGACGAAATGCAGTTTTAGCTTACAGACCCCCTTCACAAGGCAACCGGGAGGGGCTCTAACGAGCATTAGCTGTACAACCCAATCCATTCCCAAACCCGAAGCACAGTACTACCGCACCCTGTGTAACAGTCGTGGACTGACATGTCAGCCCTGACGCGACAGACGGCCACCTCATAAGCCAGGTCGAGAACTCGGCTTTAGCCAAACATTTTCTTTTTGCAGTTTACCGCCTTAGCTTCGCAACGATGTGGCTTCGTTAACCTCCACCGCGCAGTGTGGCTTGCTTTAGTAGGTTCTTCCTGCGCTAGCGCGCCTCGTCGTCAGGCACGGCACGACATGGAGCTAGTATAGGGGAACAGGCGCAATCCCCGTACACACGTACAGACTCGCGCACAGATTATTATTTCTTCTCCGCGCTCCCGTCTTTCCCCCCTCCGCCACTGTCGGGCACCCATGCGCGCGTCCTTACAGTTCCGCCAGGGCGACGGCTCGCACCACTCGCCGTGCGGTCCGCTCTTCCGCCTTAAACTGCCCGTGTCGCTGCTAGGCCTTCCGCTTCCGCTGTTTTCCGGCTGTTCCCTCGGCTCCGCGCCGTCCGACGTCTCTCTCTCCCTCGGTACCGCCTTCACCGCCGGTCCCTCCCTCCGCCTCACCTACCGCCCCATTCGCGCACCCGCCCTCTCCGCGGCCCCTCAGGATGATTCCGCCGATTCTGGCGGAAATTCCGCGTCGCTCCATCTTGTGCTGAAGGCGGGGCTCGGTCGGCTCGGGTCGTCCCGAGATGCTTCTTTGTCGGTAGCTGCGGAGCTCGAGTTCTGCCCTTCCGCCATTGCCTCGGGCGGAGCGCCATCCAGTGGCGTTGGGGGAAGCGCCTTCCGCGTCCCTCTGCGCGCGCATATCCGCTTCAAGGCCGAGCCGCGCGTAGGAGACCTTTCGTTCCGCCGATTCCCCTCCACTGCGGTAGCTGCAGCGCCGAAAGCAGTCACAGCCGCTTCCGCGGAAACAATTTCGCCTGCGGGGAACGCGAAGCCATGCGCGCAAAGCAGCAGCGGGAGCGGGGAGCCGTCAGTGTCCGCCTGCACTCCACTGTCCATTGGGCCGCGCAGCCAAAGCTCTAGTCCGCAGAGCGGCGGAAGCAGAAGCGGGGGCAGCCGGGGAGGCAGCCGGGGTGGCAGCCGCGGGGGCAGCCGTGGGGGCAGTCCAGGGCCGGGAGCAGTGGGCGGAGGCGGGGAAATGGCTTTACCAGACGGACTAGATGCTTCCGCCGTGGCTGCTTGTAACGGTATTCCACCCGCTGACTCCTCCGCCGTATCCTCCCCCAGGGCTGCTGCTGCTGCTGCTGCGTCACCCTCCGCGCAGAATAGCAGGAGCAGTAGTGAGAGAGTGGTCGCGGGAGGAGCAAGCGACAGCCCCCCAGGAGAAGACCTAGGAGGAGGCGTGGGCATGGCACCGCCTGCTCTTTCTTCCTCTGCAGCAGTCCCAGCAGCCCGCGTGCTGTCTCAGCGTCTCACTCTTTCCCCCAGCCCACCTCACTCCCCCACAGCCGTTGCAGCAGCAGCTGCTGCTACAGCAGCGGCAGCTGCAGCTGTTGCGGCAGTAGCAGCATCAGGCCAGCAGGTGACGTGGCAGTGGTCTGCCGCTGACGTGGCAAACGCTGTGAGGAACGCAGGGTGGGGAATCGGCGTACGCAGCAGTGTGCCACTTGGCACTCACGGAGTGGCATCTCTCCGCTGGCGCCTCACCCTCCCCCACCCCGCCCCCTCTCCCTCCGCCCCTTCACCTCCTCCTCCTGCTGCAAATCCCGCAGCTGGATCTCCCAACACCAACTCTCGAAGCAGCAGCAGCAGCGGCTGGTTCTCGTCCACCCATGCGCCGATGCTGCACCTGGATAAGATCAGTGTGGACGTGCGCACTGGCGCCTTCCGCTTCATCCCTGCCTGCTGGGCCATGCACGAACCACCGCTACCTGATGCCCTGCCACAACCCCTCCCACCTGCTGCTATCTCAGGTGCTGGCACCGCCACCGCCCGCCCGCCCGGCCTGCCCACACCCACCACTCTCGTTTTGCCAGGTGTCGGGCCTCGGCTGCTTCTCATGCCGTCTGGACCCCTTGGGTTCCGGCCTGCGCTGGTGCCGCCAGGTGGCAGCGCAGGAGTGGCTGGCAGGGGGTTGGGGGGAGGGGGAGCAGTGGTGGGGGAGCAAGGGGAGGTAGCGCGGCTTAGGAGTGAGCTGGTGGGGGTGAGGGCAGAGGGGCAGCGGCTGAGGCAGCAGGTGGATGAACTCCGGGCAGCAGTGTCCAAGGGCGGTGCAGGGGAGGGCGGTAAGGCAGGCAGTGTGGGAGAAACGAAGGGTAAAGGAGGGAAGGAGGGTGGGGCTGGGGCGCCTGCAGCTGCAGGGCGGGCAGAGGCTGGCAAAGGTGGTGGAAGTGCTGCTGCTGCTGGCAGTCAGGGTGGCGACAAGGATGGTAAAGCAGCAGCGCCTGCACCAAGTGGTGCTGGCTCGGCCCCTGCAGCGGTGGGGGCTGGCAGTAAGGGGCAGAACGGGGGCAGTGGTGGTGCTGAGAAGGAGAAGCAAGGTGGAGGGCTCTTTGGCAGGTGGAGGGGCAAAGGGGACAAGAAAGAGGAGAAGAAGGAAAAATCAAGTACTGCCAGCACTGGCAGCAACAGCAGCAGCGGCAGCAGTGGTGGTGGTGGGGCAGGCAGTGGCAGCAGTGTGCCTGTGGCGAGCAAGGCAGGGCCTGCTAGCAGCGCAGCAGCAGGTGCTGCCGCGGGTCCTGAGGGGTTGGGACGACCAGGCATGGCAAGGGGTTCCAGTACAGCCCCAGGCGTGGGAATGGACATTCCAGTGAGTGCGAGCAGAGCTGACATCACGGCTGTGCGGAATGCTCCTGCTCATGGGAATGGGCATGGGCACGGGCACGGGCACGGGCATGGGCATGGGCATGGGCATGGGCATGGGCATGGTCAAGGGTATGTGCATGGGCATGGCCCTCTTTTGCATGGCCCAGGGGCAACGATGGAGGGGCATGGGCCAGCAGTGGGGAAGGTATCAGTGGCAGGCCAGGGGGCTTTGAGTGCTAGTGCTGGTGCTGATGCTGCTCAGCTGGAGCTGGAAGAGGGGCTTAGGCAGGCGATTCTGCAGGCACGAGCAGGGGCTGCGTAGTGTGATCACAAATCGTTTAGTGACCTTGGTGTGTTCGTTTGGTTGCCATTTACCGTAACCTTGGGAGCGGAGTAGGGTTTTTTTCTTTTGTCATCGCCCGGATAGTACTGCATGTCCTATCCAATACTGCTTTGGGTGTTTTATCTTGTAATCGGAACCATACGGGTATCTTATAAACCTTATTGTTGGAATACCGAAAGGTTATCGTACCGCATCACCCCGGATATAAGCGCAGGTGCGCTTACAGATGAGTAACGGGCATAAGCGCATGCGGTTGTAATAAGTAAAAAATGAATTTGACTTTAAATTACCGTATGTTGGGCTGAGAATTTCAGCCTTAGGATCTTTGCAGAGAATAGGCTAGTAGGTGCTAGAGTAGCACAGCGGAAGACTTGAGTGAATGTACTTGTGCTGGTGTGTGAGAACAAGTAATTGATTAAAGCAAAGAGCATACAGGAATATATAGGAAAGATACAGGAAGCGGTTGTGTTTATCGAGACGCGTAACGCTTCGACTATCGAGGCGGTTACTGTTCACTGAAGCGTCGCTTGCTGTTACGTAACCTCCAGGCGGTTACAGCTCGCAACCTCCAGTTGCGGTTTGATGTGATACGCGCCCTTTCGACTTCGTACCCCTTTTGTTGTGCTTCAGTATCGGGTGAGGTTCGATACTACAGAAACGCACTAAGTCATGCGTTTATATTCCCAACAAATTATACCAAATCGAAGCCCACTGTAAGGTGAATGCAGCCGACCATGCATCACATGGGGACGTGCATGAATTCGAGGCGAAAACAGCAACGCACCTCGGTTTTCCACCCCACACTTTCGTCTAGAAGCATCGCATCTGCCAGCGATGACGCGAATCTTGCCGTGGCATGCGAATTTCATCCGAACCCTCTCGAAGGGTGCGGAAGATTCCCTGCCAGCGCAGCGATTATGCTGCCACGCAGGGTCCTCTGCGGGTTCAGGCGGGGATTTCTTGCTTGCACCTGACAAGGACCCCGAGCCGCAAGCTCAGCAGGGGTCCCCTCCGTCAGGGCTTCAGATTCGTTTTGGGCCACCCTTAGTAATCAGGGTTCTAGGTAAAGTCAACCCTGATGCGTAGGGTAAATTGTTTTTTTCCTTGACAAAAGCAGGGTAAAAACTGTTGGGCTGAAAAAGCCCTTAAGGATCTTTGCAGAGGATAACTCTGGGTAGGATATTTGTAATAGCGGAAGCGTTTAATGAAGTTTGTGAACCGACCTTGCACTAGTGTGTGAGAGCAAAGTGGATTAAATTAAACAAGCAAATACAAGGTTTTATATAAGAGTACAGGGAATACGAATGGATAGATAACTGTATTTGCTGTTGCGATTCGATACAGTGCGACTCGGGCAACTGCTCTGTAACGAGTCAGTTGTGTGTCCTTAACTGTCGCGCTGTAATTGTCGAGTCAAAGGTCGCTGACCTTTGACTTTCCCGTAACCTCCAGGCGGTTACCCTAACCTCCGAGGTTTGACTCGATGCTTCGATTCGGACTGCTTCGCTAGTGTCTTGGGTTTTGACACGACAGAAGCGCACTAAGACTTATTGTTTCCAACACTCCCCTTCGCTTCTGGAGTATCGCCGCAGGTGACGTGGCCTTGTCCAGTCAGCAGCATGCAGTATTCGAACTTCTGCTTTCCGAGCTTTTTGGTCAAGTAATCGGCTGCCATCTCAGACGTGGGACAGTATGACAGATCGAGTTTCCCCTTTTCGATCTCGTCCTTCACGAAGAAATAGCGCAGGGCGATGTGTTTCGTCCTGTTTGCGAAGCCGTTCTTGTTGGCGATGCGAATTGCTGACTGGTTGTCGCAGAACACGGTGAAGCTGGGTAACTCGGCTAACTTCGCTTCTTCCAGCAGTTCGCGAAGGTAAAGTCCCTCCTTGGTGGCTGAGCAGAGTGCAATATATTCCGCTTCAGCTGAAGACAGTGCGATTAACTCCTGCTTACTCGACTGCCAGGAGATAGGACCGATAGGCTCGAGGCGGTAGACATAGCCGGTGCGTGAGCGCCTGTTATCGGTGTCGCCGGCGTGATCGGCGTCGACGTAGCCGATTAGCTTGGTCGGTGTAGTTGCGTTTTTGTGATAATTTAATCCGATCGTCGCGGTGCTGACGAAATAGTGGAGAGCGCGATCGAGTTCCGCCAGATGCTCTGCTTCAGGCTTCTTGAGATAGGTGGCGAGCTGGCTCGCGGAGTAGGATAAGTCGGGACGGCATGTGACTGCTGCGAAGAGAAGACATCCGAGCTTCTTCTGATAGTCGCGTATGCCGGCGGGCTTGAGTAGGGTAGATCGTCCCTTTTCGGTTCCTGACGTGTAGCGGTAAGGCGTGGAGATGGCGCTTGGTGTGAGGCTGAAGCGTTTCGCGATGGTGTCGGCGTACTTCTCGGCACTTAGATAGATTGCGTTTTCTTCCTCGCGGATGTTGAGCCCGAGGTACTGCGCAACGGTAGAAGAGACCGTGAGCGTGAGGTCTTTCTGAAGCTCCCCTTCGAACCACGTGGCGATGCCGTCGGTTGACCCAATGTAGAGGAGATCGTCCACGTAGACGATTAGGAGAACATAGTCACTTCCCTTTGTGAGGCGATACATGCCCTGGTCATGCGGGAGTTGTTTGAAACCGATGCGAATGAGGCGGGCGTGTAGGTACTGCTGCCACAGTCGCGGTGCCTGCTTGATCCCGTAGAGCGACTTAAGCAGTTGACAGACTCGGTTGGGTTCGCCGTGGGAGCCGTGCGGGAGCTCGACGAAGATTTCTGCATCCACAGGTGCGTAGAGAAATGCGTTTGCGACGTCGATTTGTCGCAGTTTCTTTTTCTTCATGGCGGCGACGGCGATGAGGATTCGGAGTGAGGTGTGACGGCTGACCGGAGCGAAGGTTTCGGTGTAATCTCTTCCGTGCTCCTGGTCAAAGCCGCGTACGACCCAGCGAGCTTTGAATTTGTCGATGGTGCCGTCAGCTTTCGTCTTCGCACGGAAGACCCATTTCCCGGTAAGGATAGTCTTGTTTTGTGCTACGCCGATGGGAACGATTTTCCAGGTGTTGCGCTCCTCCAGTGCCTTCAGCTCTTTGTCCATGGCTTCACGCCATTTCTCCTTATGTTCCCCCCCCAGAGCCTGTTGAACCGTCGCAGGCTCCTTAGGAATGGCGGCGCCATGGACTGCGGTGACGAGACCAAGGATTTGCAGCCCAGTCTGTGAGTATCGAGGGAGTTCTGGGTCCTCGGGATAAGCTGCTTCGTCTCCCGCTTCTGGGTCGGGTATGAAATTTGGCCCTACCCTTTCTGCTTCGTTGGTGTTGACTGTCGCAGGTGTTACGTAACCATTGTCGGCGAAATGGTAGAAGACTTCGGCGTTGTTACTGTCGCGAGGATTATCCTCATCCATGGGCACGTCGACGGAGCAGTACGGAAGAGGTCCGGCTTCCTCCGATGCGTTGTCGACGTTCTGCTCATCCCAATCTGCTTCATCCGCTGCTGACGCGAAGGCTCGGTCACCACGAAAGCCACTGGTGAGGTCCCGATTCTCGTGCAAGTTGGCGAGGTACGTCTGAAGGGTGAGTCGTTCGTAGAAGATCACATCTCGTGCTGCTACTGTTTCTTTTGTGTGGACGTCGAAGATTCTCCACGCGTCGTAATTTTTCTCGATGCCGAGGTGTAGTCCCCACTGTGCCCGTTGTGAAAATCTTCCCGCTCGTGCTTCTGGGGGTCTGTACTGTACCATGCACCCGAAGACTCGTAACATTTTTGTGCTGCCCTGCTTCCCTGTCCACAGCAGATGCGGTGATGCGTTGTTCGGGAGTGACGACGACGACAACAAGTTGTGCAGCATGACAGCGTGGTCCATTGCTGCTGGCCACTGGTGGCTGGGTAGCCGCATGCCACGTAACAGTTTGCGCATGCTGTTCTGCAGGGTCCTGTTCATTCTTTCTGCAACACCTTGCTGCTGATGTGCGTAGGGAAGGGAGAGGAGTTGCTTGATCCCCCTTTCCGCCAGGAACTGCTTGAAGCGCTGAGAGGTGTACTCGCCACCTCCGTCTGACTGGAAGCTTTTCAGTTGTGTTCCAGACTCTCTCTCTGCTATCGGTAGCCAGGCGGCGAATGCTGCGAGTGCCATGTCGCGGCTGGGTAGATTGCGATGCCAGACGTATCGAGTGGCAGCGTCGATGAAGGTGATGGTGTAGTTGTAGGTGACTTGTCCGGGTTCGCGATTGTAGAGGATGTCGCTGTAGACCTTTTCGAGTGGTGCGTACGCTGGAGCGCTCGGGTTGTGATGTGGAGCGAACGGTCGATGAGGTAAGTCAGCTTCGGGGCATATAAGGCAAGTCCCTCGTGCCTTCTGGAGTTCTCAGCCATCGGGTAGAAGTAGGGAGTCTTTGTCAAGAACTCCTGCTCTTATCGTGTTATTTAAAACCGTGTTGCTTGGATGTCCTGTGCGTGCGTGCCAGATCTCTTCAGAGGCGCGGTGTCCAGGTGAACGTTGGTATGCGAAGGAGTTGGAGTAAAAACTGGCGACGAAGTTGGCGCTTCGGTGGACTTCGCGTTGAGTCGGATTCAGCTGTTGTGCGGGTGTTGGTGGTGCTTCGTCGACTGTGACTAGTGTCGTTGTTCTTGCTGCTGCTGATGTTGTCGCTGCTCCCGATGTTGTTGCTGCTGCTGCCGATGTTGTCTCTGCTTCTGTTGTTTGTTGAATCGTCGCTAACGCTCGTGTTCGTTCTGCTTCAGGGATAGTGTGGGAGTACCAAAAACCTCCCGGGCTGAAGTCGGGGTCGAGATCTGGAGGGTGTGTCCAGTCAGTAAAATTCACGATGGCGTCGCTGTCTGCAGTGCCCAGGTCAGGAACGAAGTCGAGGACGAAGACGTTGTTCTTCAGCACTGCCTTCCCGATGTAGAGACCGCCTCTCCCGTGGTATAGCTTGAACTCTTGGGTGGTGCTGTCGGCTTCCAGGTGAATCCCCTTCGCCATCAACTGGCTA